GGAAATGTGGCTCGGACGGAAAGAACTACAAGAACGATTGCACCTTCGATTTTGGCCTGAAAAGGAACCCAAAGTTGACCAGGAGAAACGGTGGTCCATGCAGATCGCGTGATGATACCAGGCCTGTGTGCGGCACCGACACTAGATTCTATGATCCTATAGATTTCTTTGCCGAACAATCGGTCAGACCTGAGCTTGGAGAATGGCCATTGGATCACTGTAGAGGTTTGGAACCGAGCGGCCCTCGAACCGACGATCCATATGGTGGACGTCCTATCATCCCTATTCGCGAGACCAAAACTGTTTGCGGAAACGATTTCTTGATCTACTTTGAAGAGACTTTCATTGCCCAGCAAAAGATCAGACCAGAACTCGAAGAATTGCCGCTGAGTGATTGCTACTACAAACCCTACTTCCAACAATAAATCAGTACACGACTAAATGCTAAATAAATGAATAAAACCAAACCTATCTGAATTTTTCTTTGCTAACATCGTACAAATCTCAATTGGAAACCATTCAAAGTTTCGAAATAAAGAAAATTTTGCAAATTTAATAAATTCTATAGTACTACCGTCAAAGCTTGATCAAAAACTAATAAAATAATAACCTCCAAATGACAGCTCCGCTTGAAAAAGACTAGAATTTTATGATGAAATCTACTTAAGATGAATTTGATTGGTTCTAATTATAAAATTGATAAATCGTAACGCTACTTCTATAACAACATACAAAAGTTGTTTTTGCTTTAATCTCCATCTCGAACATACTTGAAGTACCAAAATTAAGATCCAAAAAATAAATAGAATTATTTCAAAACAAATTATTATAATCCTTATTTCCACAACTGAATTTGATTTCTTTTTCTCTTTTCATTGTTTGTTCAAGAGTTAATTTTACTTTTAGAAGTTTATGAGCTTATTAACAAAAAAAAATTGGAAAATTAATAAATTGAAATGGACATAACCTTAACGGGAAATAAATGGCGGTGAATCTAAATCGTAACGCTTCTTTTATGACAACATGTAAAACAATATTGTGACAATCATGACCTGCTATTTGCTTAAAATTTGAGAAGAATTGAAAAGAATCGAGAGATAGGTTATGACGAAAAACAAGTGAAAACGAATCAGTTTCCCATTTATCGAGAATTCGAGGAAGGCTTTGAAACAGAAACAAAAGACGGACGAAACAAGATTAAATCGTGATCAAAGCGCGTGTATTGTTTGTAAAAGGATGAAAGGGTGTGACGAGAACAAAATTATCAAACATTTTTGTGTTATTATTTATATCAATATTTTCATATCCTGCATAAAACATAAGCAATAATTTTGTAACTTTCTCATTGAAATTTGTGACAATCATGACCTGCTATTTGCTTAACATTTGGAGGATTTAGAAGTTCACGTGTACTTATGTTTTTTTTATGTTAAACGTGTTGAAGGGAATATAACGATTGTCATTGAGAACAATTGAAAAGATTAGTGCAACAATACCGGTATTGTCTTCTTAAGCAAATAAGCTGATGCGAGTAATTGTCTCATTTTTTACAAGAATCAGTATAAAAGAGGTGTTAACCTGATAAACTAGTCACAATCAAAAATGAAGTGCATTTTGATCATTGCTTTGGTCGTAGCGTCGATCAGCGCTCAAGTAGATACAGAATATCGAGAAGACTATCCGATTTGCGGTTCCGATGGAAATACTT